ACGGTCCTTTTTGTTGTAGCAATAAATCTGTAAATTCTAAAGTAAATTCACTAAAATTTTATATTGAGAGAGGGATAATAAATCCTCAATGTATTTTGCAAATGTCATCAAAGGGTCCAGAGTTATACACATTCATAGTTAAACAAACATTCGAATATACCAAGTAATTTTTTTATATTCAACTTTACATTTAAGTAGACGATAGTAATAAAAAAAATTTCAGTAAAGATGATTTGATTTTAATTAAATTTATGACAATAAATACCTTATGGATAGGGTTTTGAATAAATTTCCTAACAAAAACTGGTCTAGAGTTGTCAATATTGTAATTCACGGATCAGCAGAAATACTATGATTGTGGCTCATAGCTCATAGCTCGTACTATATAAAATGTTGGTTCAGTTAAAACACTAGTATTGATGCAAGAAGACAGACCTTTCATGTTTCAAAAAATAATATATATTTGAAAATAAGAATTATATTAATTATAATTATTATAATTCTTTATTGTGTATCAATTCATTATTGTATATCCTTTTTTCTTTCTATTTATCACCACATATATCTTCATATATGACAAGACCTAGCACCTATAGAACAATTCGAAGTATCCTGAGAAACGAGTACTTTGCAGCCGCTAAACAGTTTTTTGACTAAGATAATATCGTGAAATTAATATCGTAAATTTATTCCTCGAAAATCCTAAACGAGAATACTTTAGAGCAAATACAATTTAGCGAAACCTTTCATTGTCGCTAATTTACTTAAGCAAAAACCTTAATCGCGAATACTTTAGAGAGAACATCCTAACGAAATCCTTATTACAAACCCGTTATGGCGAAACACTTAAGGCGCACCCTTTATAATGAGTTTTTGGGGGCGATTATATATTCGCGCGAAGTCATTATAGATAGCGCATTTCCGCGAGATTATAAATATATTGCGAATGCATTTATCTAAAGGAAAACAACATATTCAATATTAATTTACCCACTACTCATGGGTAAATGATGCTTACTACCAGGTAATACCTATCAAATTTGTATTTTGTTTATTTTTCACTTGGATAGGCATTACCAAATTATTTTTCATTTGGATAGGCACTACCAAATTTATTTATAATATATATTTAAAAAATCGTTTGGAAAGTGTGGCATAGTTGGCAAGAGCCTCGCTTACGAATCCGATGGTTATGGGTTCGTCCTGCTCAATGACCATATTTTTTTCTTAATCTAACTTGGTGGTTCCGTCCTTGGGGGATGATATATAGGAGGCCGGACTCGACCACGAAAATACGTTATAATATATTAAATAATAAGGGTTTTATTACATTTTAATAAATTTTGGTCGATATTTAGCCAATTTGGTTAGTAGTATTTAGAAAATTGCTATACTTAGATTTGATAGTAGTCATCAATAACCCTACTAATGCACTTAAAAATTAATAAAATAGTAAAGTTTTCTGAGTGATATATTATATTTCAAAGAAATTCAATTCTGAGAAAATTAAAATTTTTACTTAGCAAAATCATCTTTTGGGAATTAGTTAAAACTACTTTAAGTAAATTCTGAGTAATTAAGAGGAAAAAAAAAGGATATTATATTAAAGCACTAACCTATATGTAATGCAATTGAGCATTACACATTGGCTTAAGCTTCAGAATTATTGCCTGCCAAAGCTTGGCAAACTTTGTGTTTAAGGTTTCCTCTTAATTTTAGATTCATATTCATATTCATATTAAATCTTTTGAAAATATAAAATAATATTTTTATTTAAGTAAACAGAAGATAAAAAAAATATCTATAAAGATAATAAAATCATGTAAGATTTAAAAATATTTTGAAAATACTTTATTTTACTTAGGATGTAATTCATTTTTAAATCGGCATGCATTCAAAATTCTATAGAGACAATATAATGATTAGTGTTATAGTTTTTATTTAGTTTATAACTCTGTGGTTAAAAATTTACAAAACTGATTGATTAATTTATAAATATTAAGTAGTCATCATAATAAATAAAAGTGCAGCCCAGATAATTTCACCAATAAGAAATAAGTTGTAGCTAAAGAAATCAATGGTTATAAAATCTGAGTTCCTTTGTGGGCGATTATTATAAAATAAGATTTAGAAGAAAGGTATCTGAAAGGATTGAAAAAAAATATTCAATAATAGATTTTATAAATCAAATCTAAGTTTAATGATTATATAAATTTATTAAGGTTAAAAGATAACAAAAACTCTATCATTGAATCAATCTTGATTTTTAAAAAATATTATTTAGTTATGATGTGATAAGAGGTATTAGAATTTTTTATTACAACAAAAAATATATCGTACATTATTTTATATCAAAATATTACATTTCATTTCTCATATAGTTAATATCATATTAAATTCACTAAAGCAATCATAGTAATGTATCACTAAGACATAAAATAGAGTATTAAATAATTAGTTAATAGATAATACTACAATAAATAAAAGAAATAACAAAAATCAATCGACAAAGTAAAAGGTTACTTTACGGTAAAAAATAATTATTAACAAATTAACATGATCATAAAAATAAATGTTCAAAATAATATTGCCTCTATGTGTAATTATCGAGATATTGACCTCGCGATATTATCTTCGTAAAAATAGTTTTCGTAATATTTTCTTCTGCGATTTGGGTTTTGCGATAATGATTTCGCTATAAAATTTTCGCTATAATAAAAAGTTTGGTTGTGAAAGTTTCGCTATTAATTGGCGATAAAAAGTTTGGTTATTGTGAGTTTGTGATATAAGTTTCACTATAAAACCCTTTGCGAGTATGAAAGTTCGTGTTTAGCTATGGAAGTTAAGCTGAATTGACATGCCTATTTTTATGTTGATTGATAAATATATATTGAGGATATTTTTATTCTAAGATATGTTATATTTTTTTTTATAGTTATAAGAATTTATATTATTAATGATTTTCTTTTTTTCCCTCGTTTCGATTTTTTTTATGTAATTATCAATTTGAATATATAAATTGTGAAATATAGAATAAAAATTTAAAGAAGATGTAAAAAATAATCAAATAAAGAATTAAAAATATAAAATTACAAAATTTAAAAAATAGATATTTAACAGTTTTACATTGATTATTTTATGTTGCAACACAATGTTTGTGATATATATTATAACCCAGCGTATCTTATCTTAAAGATATTTGTGAATCGATCATGATAGCAGAATTTCATAATACTTTAACTTTACTGATATTTATGAAAATAGGGGAGAGGGAAGCGGTTTGGCATGTTAAATTCCCTCCAATAATTATAATTAAATCATGTTATTCTAAATTTATGAAATATCCTCCTTGAAATTTTTCCTTTATTTTTATAAAATTTTATTAGAAAATATTTACTTTAGTTTAAAATATTCGTTAAAAAGTACTAAAAATCTAAGAATGGATAATATTTTCTCAAATAATTCATATTCTATTTTCTAATAAAATTTTCATATGGTAAAATTTAAAAACAGGATGCTTTCTAAAAATGTCATTAATTGGAGAGGGTATGTCCCAAGATATCTCTATCTTAAGGTCTATAAATGCATTTTTACATCAATATACTTAGCCTTTATATAAAAAATTTTACCCCTCCCACCAATTTACCCTAACATACCCCATGCCTTCCCGCAACCTCGCCCTCTTTTGTTTTATTAAAAGATAGTATCTTCTCCTATTCAAGATCATTCTGTAAAAAAATAATAATTTGAGGATGGATATGAATTCATAGTGAAGAGCGATTGCGATTTAGCCGCGATATCGCAGCGACCGATCAGCTGGATCGATCGCAGTGATTTTCATTATAGTGCAGTGCAAAGCGTTATTAATTCAAAATGGTATCCATCCTCAAATTATTATTTTTTACAGAATGATCTTTAAGAGAAGATTAAACCATCATAATATTAATAAAACAAAAGAGAACGAATTTTATGTCCTCTTTCCTAAACTATTAAAAAATGAGCTTAAATTTTTCAACTATATGAGAATGACTAAAGTAATTTTATTCTATTTTGTCTAATTCATTTTAATTTAGGAAAACTTTTATTATATACTCAAACATGTAAAACCTTTATTACATACCAAATGTACCAATTTTATAAAACATCCTATAAGTGTTGAAGAAAAGCCTTATGGTTTGTTTAAGGTAAAAATAAAGCAATTTATTATTTAAATATATTTTTTATTTAGGTATTTAGCAACATAAGGTTCATATAGTATTAAATCAACACTGCTATTCTGATTCATTCCATGATTATGCTTATATTTATATAAAAGTCCTATATTTTAGATTTAATCATATCTTATTTTGTATGTTATATAAATATCTTGTTTTGTATTTTATATAAATACCTTGTTTTGTATTTTATATATATTATAATAAAAATAAAGTTATTATTAATATAGTTTCAAATAACAAAAATATATTCAAAATAATTTTAATCAATAATCTTTTATAATATCAAGTAGTTGTTATTTCTTTTTTTTCCTGATTGGTACAATCATCTGATTTTTATAAATATATTGTTTTGTATTTTATATATATTATAATAATAAAGTTATTATTAATATGGTCTAAACTCATAAAATATATATGTAGGAATATGTCACTAAAAAAGCTATATAGTTGTTCTAAATTCATCTATTGAAAATATTTTTATAAAGCAATTTAACATAAATTACCAATATCATTAAACTTTCTCTAAGATAAAGATCATTCATTATAAATAATATATATTTAGACATTATTTTATCAAACTCAGTACAAAGCTTAATTAATGCAGGACTTTTGGGAATAATTATATCATTCAATGTATTTCACAAAATGTTTATTTCAAATAAACATACAAAATATATATTTCAAATAAAATATATATACAAAATAATTTTAATCAATAATCTTTTATAATATCAAATATTTTATTTGTTATTTCTTTTTTTTCCTCTTTGGTACAATCATCTAATTTTTCTTATAACATTAATCATATTTCATGTTCTGTTGATTTATTTTTAAACATTTCCAAGGTTATTAATGCTTTATCTGCTTCTATTTTTATTAATTTCCTATAGTCATCTATTTAAAATTTATCAATAAATATAAATTACCCATATCATTGTTCTTTCTCTTAGGACATTTATAATAAAAATTAGGTGACCCAACACAGGACATAGATATAAAAGATAATATAAATTTTTAGATATTATTAATTACCAGAATCATTACTAAGATTTAATGCTGCAGAATCTTTGGGAATAAATATATCATCTGATATATTCTCACTATCAATGAGATCACCTAAATAATAAATATATTTTATCAATTAGCGATATTTTATATTCATGTATACCCCCTGTTATTTCATTAAATATATCATTTGCATCTTTAGTAGTACATTCCTCTATATCTAAAGAGGATTTCTGTGATCTAGGTGTTAAGGTTTCTACCAGGAATAGCATATCCTGATAGAATGGCCATGCTGACCCACTTTTTAGCTTTTGCTTCTCTTTTATAAAACAATCTCTCAGATTTTTCCAGAGAGATGAACCTAAAAAAATTTATAAATATAATATGTATGCAAAATTATTACCAGGCATATTATACTGCTTGGCTAATAATTCCCAGATTTTATTCTTGTATATAATACTTTTATACAAATGATTATGCTTATTATATAAACATTCGTACTCTTTAAGAGAAAGAATAAAAGCTATTTTATCTATTTTCTAATAAAAAATTAAATTTAAATCATAATTTTAACTTGATCCTTTAGTTTTATATCTTCAAAAGAGGTTGTCTTTGAATTCATTTCAATTAATAAAAAAATTAGCGCTGCGCAAAATCAAAGATTTTGAGCTATATTCACCAAAATCTGTATTTAACGAAGTATTTCATGCTTTCGCGTATCAAATCGCGCGATCGGTAACTATGAATGCGATATCATATTTATTTACTGATACATTCACACTTTTTCTCAATGGTTAGAACGTATGCCTTCCGAACGATAAGTTGCGAGTTCGAATCCCGGGTTGCCATAAAAAATTTAAAAAAAAAAAAATTTTTTGATTAATATTTTAAATGGCCACAAACATGGATCTAAACTATATGAGTTCCAACAAGTATTACGAAGTGGAATTTTTCAATTTTGACTTTCTGCATTATGGACATGGATGACTACAACTCTGTGATATTGGTCAGATATATTTTTTCCTTTGATTTCCGCGCCCGAGTGGTTTGAAAGGAAATTTTATCATGTCCTCGCTTAATATAAATGGTTTAATGAATAAATTAACCATTTTTCTAAGGCTCATGGTCGACGAAAAAATGGATGTGATCGCGATACAGGAGACCCACTCAAAAGATAATAATATGGCTACCTTTAATAACTTTGAAATGTATAGTTCTGGCACCACTTCCAATAATTGGTCGGGGGTTGCTTTCTTTATCAGCAAAAGATTATGCAAATACGTGGATAAATTTGTGCCCATTTCGGAGAGATGCTGTTTACTATACCTGAATACCTGCTTCAGGCAAACAATCTTAGTTAATGTCTATGCCCCGCCTAGAAGAAACGAACGGCTCGCATTCCTTGATGACCTTGAAAACATTGTAAACTCTCTTCCTAGGAGTCGTAATTTGATAATCCTTGGGGATTTAAATACTAGGATCGGAAAAGATGACTCCTTTATTAGAGATGGGGTAATTGGGAATGCAACTCTCTCTCAATTAAACAGTGATGACAGCAGAAAGTTATTGGAGATGTGCAGGAGTATAAACCTCAAGGTCGAAAATACTTTCTTTTCACACAGTGAATTAAATACCCTAACCTTCAGTAGAAATAATATCAAGTCTCAGATTGATTTTATCATCTCGAACATCCATAGTTGGTTTATCGATGTAAAAGTAATGCCAAATATTAATATTTCTGATCATAAATTAATCAGAGCCAGTATTACTGTGAAAAATTTATGGGGAAACTCTCGGCGTCCTTCTCTTCAACCCCAGCCGAGATACCTGTCCTGGAAGAGAAATGCAACACACCTGCAACGCCCTGCAGTCAAACTACAGCTCGATCTATTCTTAAATGATAGGGAGGCAACTTTCTTATCCTCGTCGGAGTCTCAATCTGTCGAAGAATGTTGGGCGTCTTTCAAAAACAACTTGTTCGATGCCTACAACCATCTCCCTAACATCAACATTTCTCCACCAAGACAGGAATGGCTATCCGAGGACACCATTCGTATGATAGCTCAACTCAAGTTACGAGGTGAGCGCGATGGTCAATTATGGACCTCAATTCATAGACTCCTAAGGAGAGATAGAAGGATCTTCATTGCTAAAAAGGCTTTTGAGATAGACAGGGATATGAGGGAAAATAGAACTTTCGACGCCTACAAGAAACTAAATTATTTTTGTAAAGCCAAAGTGTTCAAGACACTTCCAACTATAAGATTGGAAAATAATAGGTTAATTACTGACCCCGACGAACAGATAGCGTTATGGCTTGACCACTATATGGGAGTCTTTGATTCTAGGAGGCCTACCTTAATCCCATCCACTAGTCAAAATGCTGGACAATTGGACGCAAACTTTTCATCGGCGGAAATTGTGGCCGCTATTAAGAAGCTTAGGAATAATAAATCTCCGGGTACAGATAACATTACAGGAGAACATCTGAAAGCAGCTCCCTTAACGATCTCTCGGTTCTTACTTCCTTTGTTTAACAAGATATGGTTGACTGGGATGATGCCAGCGGATTGGAATAAGACTATCTTTTGCAACTTCCCGAAAATTCCAAATCCATCTAAATTCAAGGATTATAGAGCCATCGCTCTCACGTCTATTGCATCAAAAGTTTTTATGGTTCTTTTAAAAAATCGCATTCTTTCCTCTACACCAAACCTTTTGTCTAAATACATTTGTGCTTACCGTCCAGGTAGAAATATAAACGAACCAATATTAGCTTTAAAGATTATAATGCAGAAATGTCAGAAGTATAAATTACCTTTTTACTTTATTTTTATCGACTTTAAACGTGCTTTTGATAATGTTAACCATGATGCGCTTTGGAAGATTCTAACCGAATGTGGCATTGACTCTAATATTATAAGGATCCTTAAAACACATTATAGTAGTCTTTTTGCCTCCTTAAAAATCAATAATAAGGTTTCTCCATCTTTTAGGACAAAAGAAGGGGTAAAACAAGGATGTGTTCTTTCCCCGCTTTTGTTTAATATACTTATGAATAAAATCATAGTAGATACGCTGGCTACTGCGAATCTCTTAGAATTAAGTTCCAGTCAGTCTTTTTTCTTGGAAAATAGGGTGATATCTTATGCTGACGACATAGTTTTGATAACAAAAAGTTTGGAAGAAACCCAAAATTTGATCGCTATATTAAACTCCTTTAGTCTTAAGGTTGGCCTGGATATTAACTTTGATAAAACAGTGATAATGCCCTCGTCCCAGGCGCCTCTTCTGAATAATTTGGTGGTGGGGGGAAAGTTGGTTAAGGTGGTAGAATCTTTTAAATATCTAGGCGTAACCATTGACAATAAAGGTAGTTGTAAAGAAGAACTAAAAATTCGTTTACAAAATGCTAGGGCGGCTTTTTATAAATTTTTTAAACTGTGGAAAGCTAGAGAGATATCCGTTTTCACAAGACTCTGTATTTTCAACTCAACCATCATCCCGATTCCCTTTTATGGCGGTGATACATGGGAGATTACCAAGACCGAAACTAGGAAATTACAAACGTTTGTAAATAAATGCCTTAGAATAATAAATGGAATCTTCTACCCTAATATTATCTCAAATGAAAATCTTTGGAAGAAATCTAACCATACCCAGGTTCACTTATCTTTAAAAAAGAAACGTCTTACTTTCTTTGCCCATATTTTAAGAAATCATAGCAACAATAGCCTTGTTATTGATGCCATTAATTGGTTATACTCCTTTAATGGGAAAACATATTGCAAATATAAGACATTATGGTTCTACAGAGCCTTGAAGGACATAATGGATCTAAACTTAAATTTGAAGCAATTCCTAAGGCTAAATAAAAACAAAAAATCTATAAAAAAACTACTAAAAATTAAATCGAATTACCTAAACCTCTCATAATTTTTTCTGTATTTTTCAGGTTATTTAATTTCTTCATCTCTCAATTTTACCTCTTGATTTTGTCTTTCCTTTTCTGTGAATTACTTACTCCACTGACTTCAGCTTTTATTTATCTTATTTTCTGGAAAAACTGCATGGTTAACATTATCAATAGCTCTGTTATAATTCACAAATGTAAAGCAGAAGGGGGTTTTGTACTCAGTTTTTCTGCATGATTATTTTTTCTAAATTAATTTTTGGATCCAGTATTTTCTTTTCTTGGCCTGTATATACTTATGTATTTTTTGGTGTGGGTGATATGCTTTTTTCCATGCTATAGGATGTGATGGCTATAGCTCAATAAGCCTTAAATTTCTGTGGTCTTAGTTTTTGGGTAGTTACTTAGGTAGGATTTTTGATCCATCCCACTGCAGTAGTTCCGCTCTCCCATATTTTCTATTTAAATGAGGGCAAATAGGTAGCGATATTGTTATAGATGCTAGTTATTTTTTGGATTTTCTGCTGTGATATTATCTGGCCCTGGAGCTTTTGCAGTGTTTTTTTCTAAGTCTTTGTTCACTTGTTATTTCATTTATGGAGAAACCAGTCGACAGGGGGGTGGCGAGGTTTGTAAATATGTTTTGTTGGTAGAGTCTTTCCGTGAATGATAGACTATCATATAACAATCAAGCCAAAATGCCTTTTGTTCAATCCTGGCCAACAATTACTTTTCCATTTTCCTAAAACTTACGGAGCTGGTTCCTATTTCTGCGTCATAGTTTCCTTTCTCTCATATCGTTATCACTATCAAAGACCTTTTTCGCTATATAATCTATCTATCACTCCATAGAGTATTTTTGTTTCTCTGGAAAAAGGAAATAATAACCGTTTGTGTGGTGTTCGTTGCTGGATAGTCATAAACCGATTACTGACTAGTTTTTGCCTATTCACTGGAATTTTCTTGTGGTAAACCCATTTTAGCTTTTCCTTATTTTCATGAATAATTTCTAATCTCAATGGATATGAACATATTCTCAATTAGTTCTAAGTAACTATCAAGGCTTACATTAGATGTTAAACTTAAAATTAGCCACCACCCACCCTTAAAGTAATTAAATTATTTTGGCAGTTCATGGGTATAGGCTTTTGTTTTTGCCCATTTCTTTTGTTGATTAGCCTATAGACGTTTAAGCGACAGTTCTCGGACTGTTGCGCGTACAAGTAAGTGCGGCTTGCCCACAAACGTGTGAAGGGCTCCTCATTTTTTTTTTCTCCCCTAAATTAACTATCCAGTTTGATGGATTTTGAGGAAAACCTAGCGTAGCTCTGTTGTATCCACAACCAGAGGGCGAAAACGCTTTTATCACGTATCACGTATATTTATTTACTGTATTTTGTATTTATCGCGTCTAAATCGCAATCGCGCCACTATGAATGACACCGAATCCTCTCCACTATGAATTCAATATCTTATCAATATTTGACAGATGTCAAGTATAGAAGATTTGATTTTTACAAATATAGTATAAATTTCATGATTTTTTCAAAATTATTAAAGTGTTATAAAGACACGATTCCAATTGTAGCTCTCAATAAAAACTTTCACAACTGCATATATTTTCATAGTATTAATAAATCGAAAGTAATTGAAGATGAAATTGATTTTTTTGGCATTTCTGATATAAAACAAATTATAGACGATTTAAAAATTATTAAATATGA